AAGACGATCGCCGACGTCAGATGTTTAAAAGTGACAGGAGGCTGTCCTCCAAGCCCAGGTTAAGGTTTGTCTGGAACCGTGCTCGGCTGGCTCTTGCCGCTTGCATTCTGACGACACCATCCATCCATCTCTCTCTCTACTCTCGACCTCTTCCTTGGGTCTCTGCGGCGCCGTTTTCGTAAACCGCTTCTTCCATCACACCCAATTCGAGGAGGGGAAAAAAAGACAAAAAATTTATTAAAAAAGAAAGAGAAAAAAAAAAGGCAAGCGACGGAATTGACCCATCACACTACCACTTGCCAGCTTACTCTTACGCACAACACCACCTACCTCACCCGGACTCCTACCTACCTTAAGGTAAGGTAGCTGCCCTGCTCAGCTTCTCAAGGCTCAAGGCTCAAGCGGTTCCGGAGTGGGAGCTGCTGGTATTGAATTTCTCACACCTCGTCTCCACCCATGGTACTTGGACCTTGGTCCAGCTCCAATTCTCCAACTAAGACTAAGAATCATCAGTCAATCATACTCTGTCCTGTCCGTCTTTAACCAACGACAATTCCCCCCCTCCTCTCTGGACCTGTCCCTTCACCCCACTGGGTACTACTACTAGGTATCGTCCTTTTATTCTATCTGCCTTAGTGCTCCGTCGAACCACAAGTGTCCGCTGCAAGGTTCCAGAGAGCCGAATCTCCAGCCTATTATCTCATTTTTCCCTGTTGTTGTAAAACCACATATCCTTTCCGTTGTGCTTTTATCCAGCTCTGCTCGACTTTGGTGAACCCTGTACGATTCATACGTGGTTCGTTGCGCGCTCTTCTGACGGACAACCGCGACCTGGGTCCTCTGGCACTACTCTACCTGGTACTTCTGTGACAAGACCTTCGCCTTGATGAGTGCGTCGACGTTTTCAGACGCTTCTCTTTCCCGCGAATCCCAGAGGTTTGTCCGACCTTCCTTCGCATCGGAATGGTCTTCTCGACTCTTACTCAGCTGTCCAGGGTCTCCAACTGACAATGTTGTCCAACACCAGTTCTGACTTCGAATTGATCATTCGCCAGCAGCCCAATCGGGCGCGCGTGGCCGGTGGGAAGGAGAAAGGTACGTGAGAGACCGCGGGCTCGGCTTATAGCTCTCATCGAGCCTCCTTTGGGATCGAACAGACGTTGACATGGGCATTTTTGCTCTTCAGAACGCAAGCCAGTCGATCCACCGCCGATTGTGCAACTCCGGGTAAGAGAGGAAGGGAGCTATCTCGCGCAGTAAGTCACAATGAATGGGAGCTTGACTCGGCTTATTGGGAAAGCTCTCGGACTAATTTGCATGAGCAGACACTACTTGCAGAGCCCATATTATTTCATGTGCTGCAGTCTGTACGATGCCAATGAAGATCAGCCAGTCCCCGTACCGCCGGCCACAGCTTTGGCAGGCACTCTCGTTTCGTCACTTCACCGGTTGAAGGATGTGGATAATAATGGTAGGCCTGCTCTTGTGGAAAAGGCCGTACTGCTTCACTGCTGACTCGCGCGGCGCAGACGGCGGATTCTTCGTCTTTGGGGATTTGTCGGTCAAAATTGAAGGGGAGTTTCGACTGAAGTTCACTTTGTTCGAGATGCGAAAGTGAGCAATCCGTGCCTTTCTTTCTTGGTCGTTGATAAATATGACGGAACGCTGATCTCGTGCGTGTAGGGATGTGGTTACCTACCTGAAATCCATTATCTCTGATCGCTTCACTGGTATGACATTTTTGCGCCCATTGGATCTTTGCGAGTGATGCAGACTAACAGGATGTAGTTTCACCACCAAAGACTTTTCCCGGAATGCAAGAGTCCACGTTTCTGTCTCGGTCATTTGCCGACCAAGGTGTCAAACTACGGATTAGAAAAGAACCTCGTACACTGTCTCTGTAAGTACTCAGCGAGACAAGTGAATTACGAATCTCAGCTTGGCACCATAACGGATAAGGCTGACTTCTTTTGTCAGGAAACGGCCGCCTCGGCCGGAAGAGTATCCCCAGCAGCCACTACCTCGCTCCCCTGACCGGTCTTCGATGCAGATGTCGGGGAACGCTTTCAGTGGCTATCCGGCAGCGGGCAGGGATTATGCGTACTACGGAACACCGGTCAAACGTCAGCGGACATCTGTGGACTACGGGAACAGAGGCGTCTATGACGCCGAAGGTCGAATGCGCCAGGTGGATGCGTATCCACAAACCGCCGCCATGTATCCGAATCAGCCAGGAACCTATCAGACCCCGATGATGCAAGGATATCCTACTGGACATGCAGGAGTGCCAGATTATGCGGTTCGTCAGCCACAACCCGCACTGCTTGCCCCGTCATCTTACGGATCTCCGGTGGTGTCCATGGTTGCAGTGACATCCCCGGGACCCGGTAATATGGCGCAAGCTCGAAACCCCGCTTACACTGATGCACAGATTTCGTATGGGATCCCGTCATCCGCTCAAGTGCCCCAGATGCAGGATCCAGCGGCCCAAGCACGCTCCAGCCAGCAAGCAACGATGCAATCTCTAGGAATGATGAACCAGCCAGGTACTCCTGTACGGACCCTTCACAAGCCAATGACTCCTTAAGACGAGAGCTAAAGGATTTTCTCTTCTTCTGAAATAGACCGCAGATTCGACGGGCGCCATGATGCCACAAGGGTATCCCCAACCGCGATCGCAGCAGTACCAAACAAGTTCTACAATTTTACCACCTTTGCAACGGAATCGTAACTTTCCACAAGGGACCAACGGTGCATCCGCACGAGGTTACTTTGATCAGGCGTCACAGGGGGCAACTCCTATTCTCCCATCACAACCCATGGGTTCAAACGAAGGGGACCGATATGGTGCTGCGCCCGGTCAGACAACTTTTGATCATCCTGGCTCACATAATGGGACACCCCGATAATGGGATTACGCGATTACGGATTGCTCTTTTACACTTTCTTCAGCTGATGTCTTTTTACCACTCTTATACTCCTTCGCGGGAAAAAAAAAGTCTTTCGGGATGTCAAGGGGCTTGCTCGGAGGATTGTCTTTCTTTCTGTTTTCTGTTTGATTTTATCTTTATCATGTCTCTGTTTTGGATAGACCGATGGGCGGGTGTTTTACGGGAACCGAATCGGCGGCTGGCGGGGTTATACATGGCGCATGGGACAAAACAGGAGTAACCGTGCTAGCGGGCTTCTCTGATTCTTCTTGTTTTCACTTTGCCTTTTTCTCTGCCTTTTCTGCCATTGTTCGCGTCTGAATGACGGCGTTCAATATTCTTTGTACATATTGGCTGTGCCGAATCAGGACCTGCATGTCCAGGTGAGGAGGCTGGCATTTCAGTCTGCTCCCTGAGCTACTTAGGGCAACTGTTGAATTATTAATCCTTATGATAAGCGTTTTGAAGGATGTAAATAAAGACACCCTGTAAGTATGTGCTTAGCAAAGAGTGGCATAGCTTGAAGTCTGCCTAAGACAAGATATGGCAACATAAAGAGTTGTCGTTCTAAGCGATTGTCATGAGTGGGTGCCTCAGGTTAGTAGTATGAACACAGCGTTCCTTCCCTTCCTGGACCAAAGAGGGCTTGTGTGTCTTGTTGCTCCCCTGACCTTTCACCTCATTCACTCCGATCTTCCTTTTACGTCCACTACCTTACCTAGCTCAACCTTCTCCCAGCGCAGTGCATCGTCACCGTCTCTACTCCCTCATTCGCTCTGCCTCTTTTGACGATAGATACATCGAAACTGAATTTCATCTCTGTAATCGCTAACTAAAGGCAGATCGGTGCGTCAGAAAGCACATGGCTGCTCCAGCAAGAGGGGGCGAGGCCCATGTGAGCTCGCTGCCTCAGCGGTCGCCCGAGTTTAGCAGTTTGGAGATACGGGGTACCTGGAATGGCGATGAGCTTGAGCCAGTAGACCTTAGAATCTCACTTGAGGTAAGCCGGTACCTCTGGATGTCGATTCCCCTACCTTTCCAGGTTCATGGAGTTTCGTACTGATCGCTGTCATTCTTTCTGTCGACACAGGTTCGATGCGTTCCAAACACACAACTTCAGATTCTCAACACCAGATCTGCAAACATATCTCTCATCAAGACCTTCTCAGTCCGCCTCCAATCCAACGAATGGGGTCAAGGGAATCAGTCGAGTGACAGTTCGCCTCAAAGCCCATTGTTCGCTTTTTCCGCGCCAGAGTCTGATGACGGTACCTCTTCTCACAATTCAGGCACTCCAGAAAGGGATCTCTTTACCGCAGCGAAAGAATCACCCACCAGCTCTCAGAATGCAACTGTGTCTTCTTCCCTTGAAGGTGTTGCAGATTATCCCAACGACCAGGAAGTTGAGCCCTCGTCGCAGCTTTCATCCTCACCACTCAATCTCTCTTCTGAGTTGCGCTTGAACGTTGCAGCATGTGCCGATTGGATCAAGACGCAGAACCCAGGCCGGAAGAGGAGTGCCTCTGACGCATCCCTCACCGATTCTGGCTCTGGTTCAGAGCGAACCAAGGCTTCCGGCGTGAAACCATCCGCAAAATGCATCATCAGCGACGTTGGTGGTGTTAAATCAGCTCCCGAACCTGACAAGCTGACTCAAAATGCAACCGAGGGGAACGAAGACGCGGTCCAATTTTCAACTCAGTCTTCAGAGCGAAGCTCTCACGGGAGACATTCCAGAACGCTTAGCATGATCCCAAAGCCCGTCACTCGGCTGGACAAGGACGTGGTGAGACGAACAGTCTCTATTCCCGCGCCAGATGCGTTGCAGGATACATCAACCGCTGCGCATAGTAAACAGCCCATTGAAGAGGAAGATGCTCCCACTCCAACCCAGGCAACTGTGATTGAAACATTCCGCAGAAAGCGGGGAGACTCTGACTTCTTCGTCACGTCGACTACTGAGATGTTTCCAGGCTCTCTTGAAGCGAATGAACCGGTGGCCGCAGAAGTCACTAAGACCACAAGATCTGACTCTGACAAAGACTCCCCTAAGTCAACCCTTGGCATGCACAATGTCGTAGGTGGCCTTCGTATTCAAACAGAGCCCGAGGGTGTGACAAGGGCTATTGACCAACATGTCGAGCCGGAAACATCGAGCCCAAAATCCCATCAAGACATGACGGCACCTGAAACCCCAGGTTCAAGGGTAGACCGCACTCTGGCGCATAATGCTACAGATTACGCAGCCTTTGACCGCGAAGACTGCCAATCTTCCATGAGCGAGCCCAAGCTTGAGCTTAAGGATGGAATCCTCTTCATTCGAAACCGTGAAAATGTAAGATCAGCAACATACAAATTCGCTATTACTGTGTCTGTCCTTCTTGAGAAAGATAAGTCCAAAGGATGGAGTAATCTGGTCATTCCAGGTCTTCCTAGGATGAGGGCTGGCGAGAGTGGATTTTTCCTATTTCTGATCCCGGAGAACCATGGCTTAGAATTTCGCACTACCAACTTGCAGCGGTACAAGATTGTGGAGAACTGCTTCTTTGCTGAATTCGTCAACCGCGGAGACCTTGTCGTTCCTTTACGTGTCTGCGACCAGAAATTCTACGGCATCGTCAAGGACTTCACCGTAGACCAGGAGATTCGAGCCGAACATCAAGTCATTGCCAACTTGGATCATGAGGGAAAAGACATTCAAGCCGATGTGATGATCAATTACACTGCGATGTGCTCCTTGAGGCTGCATAATCGCTGTTTCTGGGCGGAAAAGTGTTGCTTCTTCCTTCGTTTGGATGGCGGCCCTGACACTCGTTTTCATTGCCGGCTTGAGCCTCAAGAGACGGGCCTGCAGATGATTAACTTGGAAAGCAAAGAAATTCCAGTCGGAGTTTCTTACCTCCAAATCATTTGCTCTCCAAAAGACCTGGAGATGTTTGGTGTGACTTGGAAGGTCAAGCTTCCTGGCCAACAAGCTATAAATTGGCTACCACGGATCTATCCAGTCTCATCAACCACTTGCGAGAGTAACAGGAACAATCTTCGCCAAATCTTTACTGAGCTGGAAGCGGAATATAGCAAGGAAACAGCGCACAAACTCGCGAGGGTAGTGGAGTTTGATCAGGAACACACTGTCCGGGTGCAGCACAACGCAGACATTCTAGACATATCTGACCCGGAAGATGGCGAAGAAGATCTTGTTCAGTCGGAAGAGGTTTTCTTTGAAGAGCCGTTTCCGCCTGAGGCAAAAACCCAGTCGTTGACGACGTCGATCGCGAACATAGTGGCTGACTCCATGGCATACTGCATGCAAAGCTTAATCATAAGCCTTTGTATCTCGATGATTTGGATGATCCTCACATCTTATGTTGAGATCCCTCCTTGTCCTGGCGTGTCGAACTGCACTTTGAGCGAAACAGACACGAACTTGACTGTCGTAAACAGCGAGCTAATGGGACTAGCAATTCCAAGCCATGAAGACCGGGAATCTCGACCTGAGCTATTGGATAATGAGCTTGCGCCAGAGCGAGCCATTGCGAGCGACAAGCCTGAAATCATTGAGCAGTCGTATATGGCAGACGTCGGTTTGAATGGTCAGGAACTTGGACATGCGGATCACAATGAGACAGAGGACATTCAAGAGAAGGTTGTGGAAGTCAACGACACGCCAACAGCGGGTGTCAAGTCTGGTAGCGACCGTTATGAGGATCAACCTCATTCCTCCTTCAGGGATAGGATTGATTACTGGCTTGGATGGAAGGGGCCCACTGGGGATGAGCTCTGAGCCCTCCCGCAGAAGGAAGGCGCTTTTCCCCTCAACAGAATTCAAACAACAAGCTGGCGGCAACATTGAAGACTGGGAAAACCATATTTGGTTGATGTTATTTAGGTAGTCACATGATTACAGGTCTGAAATGAAATATGTTGCTAAATAATTAATCGTTGTCATTGTTCGGCCATCCCCAGTGGCTTTATCACCTCCTCTATGGCCCATTTTAACACATCAACCATGGGCAATGTCCCCTTCCCAGGAGCGACAGAGACATCAACATCAGTTCTCAAGTTCGTCCCTTGCCCAACAATTCTGACCAACTCGTCAGTATCGGAATTCCTGACGTTCTGGTACCGATCGTTGTCAAGGCCGCTTTCGGGTAACAGCAGCCAAGCATGATCTCGTACGTATCGTGGCCAAACAATATCATCCACGTAGCCGGGCGGATCCGTCCAAAAGTTCTGCGGTGGAGCGTTATCCTCCGCTTCCAGCTCAACATGCTGCTTCGCATCCTCGCAACCCGACGACCACCTCTGCGGCAGCGTCGGTGGGACAGGAGCCGGCCCAATGGTCACATAGCCACTCCTCCTCTCGCGACGGCCCTTGACGGAATCATACGAAGCCGGCAGAAACAGATGCACATCGATCTGCTCATGTACGGGCCGCAGCACATGCTCCTTGACCTCCGCCGCTGGCGGACTGAACAACAAAAACCCCTCGAAGAAGACAACCGTCCGCTTTCCCCCGTCTTCCGCCAAGGCCGTCCCGAATCGCTGCAGCTTGTCTGAAACCTGGCACCGCAGCTGGGTAATCGTCTCCTGGCTGACGCCGGAATCGGACGCCTCGTTGAGGTCCTCCTTGCTCTTCAGGCGCGGCGGAAGCCGGCCGTGCTGCCGGACGTAGGACAGCGCTGCTGCCATGAAGGGCACGTCGATGGCCTCGATGGTGTCCCAGTCTTGCACTGTTGTGCCGGAGGGGGTGGTCGTGTATGGGATTCTGAATTTGGTTAGCTTGTTTACTTTTACGAGAAATTTTGAATGGTCTACTGTTGCGATGGGTGTACTTACCGATCGTCGGGGTGGTAAAAGTCATCCTCGTGCATGATAAAGGTCTGCAGGTTCTCGTTGGCATGCGAGAATATGCTTTGCAGGAGGCGGGCTAGGGTTGTTTTGCCGCTGGATGAGGGGCCGGAGATCCCGATTATGGTGACTGGGTTTTTCGGTCGGGCGGTGGCTTCGGCCATTTTGAGGATTTAAAGTCGCTTCTCTTCTCTCCCTTGTTTCAGTGGATGGTTTTGAGGCGAGCGTTGGGTTGTGCTTGGGGTCGATGATGATGGGTTGTGTGGGTTGGTGGTTTACTTTCTTTGGGTTATGAATTGGGAACCAGGTCCAGCAAGCGAGCTGGACGATAAAATATGAGATCTATTCAAGCATCTCGTATCTACTCAATGGTTCAGCAAGAGGTGAAGAGCATTGAGCGAAAGAGGATTGGCAGAAAGTTGATATCAGCACTTGCTGCTAGTCTATTGCTTAAATCGGCGATAGTGGGGTAGCGATTAGTGGGGTGGATTGAATATCGCTACCTGACAGGAGAGCGCTCTTGACTGCCTCAATGTTGATAACACATATCGTTGAGATCGCACGAATTCTTCGACCATTTTCAAGAGAACGATTGAAAATGCATTGGAGAAATTATCCTCCTTCCATCTTGGATCGTCGGCGGAAAGTCGACAACCACGTGATCTCCGCCCGCAGAGTGTATTCAATTACCCTTTCGGGTAACCGCTCGGGTACAGCCTTTGATATGACAAAGTCGAGGTAGAGAGGGAAAGCAACAGTAAATTGAGAATTTGTAACGCAGATGATGGTATCTATCCAGTAAATGAACACCCAGTAAAAAAAAAAAAAAGAAAAAATATGTACTTGAAGACGTCTGGACCTCTCTCTCATAACCAGTCTCGCTCACAAGTAATAACATTGTGGGAATCTAAATATTCTCTCAAATCTCAAGGCCCAAATATAGACCCAGGTCTCTGTTGGACACCGCATGGTGTCTCAAATACTGCACTGTCTCCGCCATTTTCCTGGTCAATACTGGTCACTGAAGGTGTTTTAGATCGAGAACATCTACTGGGCGTCATCAAAATACCCTCCGGAGAAAGAAACCCCAATCCGGTCGAATATTTTCGCTTCTTAGGTGTGATGATGTCTGGTTCGGCGTCCGAAAGGGTGTTGCTGTTAGATGACGGACGTTTGCGCTTCCGAGGAGTTTTTTCCACGTCGCCTTCGTCGTCAGGAATCGGCAGTTTATGGCGGTCAAAAAAGCCTACAGGCGCAGAGAGATATGCAACATGGGCCGACCCCTCGTCTTCGGGCATTGGAATGAACCGTTCGTTCTGGATTATAGAGCTCATCGTGCTGTCGTCAAGCAGATCCTTCTCGGCTTCTTGCATCTCCTTCTCTGACATTGCCTTTCTGCGCTTTAACATCTTATCCTCCAACGTGTCTTTGAGGACAAGAGTCTCGACATATACCGGCCGAGTCTGTCCGATTCGATGTGCTCGTTTGATGGCCTGGCTCTCAACATTCGGCTGCCAGATGGGGTTGACGAAGAAAACACGGGACGCATTGGCGATATGAAGACCGTGAGATGCTTGATACAGGTCCATCAAGAATACTCGGATCTCTTCGTTCTCTCGGAACAAGTTCAAGTAACTCGTCCGGAGCTCGGGCCTCAGTGTACTGGCATACATACGGTACTCAATGCCAAGCAGATCAAGCCCTTCGGCAATCCAAACGCCCGAATTCGTGCTGTCATAGAAGATGATGATCTTCTCCTCGGTGTGCAACTCCATAACCCGACTGAGTAGATACGACAGCTTAGCCGACGTTGTAGCAAGCAACTTGGTCTGTGCCAGGGGAGAGTCCGGTGGCAGTGACTTCATAAGTCCTCTGGAGAATGACTTTTTCGGTGGCTTCTTCGAAGTCTTTTTGAAAGTTGCAAAGTCTAATTCAGGGCCTTGCTTCTCCGCAGCCTCTGCTTGCTCACGACGGGCTTTGATGCCCGCTCCAGCCAGGCCTTCGGCTGGGTCAACCGATTTCAGGTGTTCTTTGACATATTGCTGAGCGCGACAAGCCTGATAAATGCCCATGTGGAGTGGCTCAATGTCTGGCTTCGAGGGGTCAAGTGCCCACAAGCCTCGAGCATGAGAAGGGAAATCCCGAATGTAGACACCTAGTTCATTCAGCTGCCTAAAAGCATTCCAAGGTTCGCTGGAGAGTGCCTTTTGAGCTATCCCTATTCCCTCGGTCAAGGTTGCGTTATCATCGTGTCTCATGTGAGGCCTATTCTTCTCGAGGTATTCCAGAGCAGTCTTAACGGTCGCCGAAAGATCCAGATCAGACGCTGCCCACCAAAAACCAGCCTGTCGGAGATTGTTGATCAGAGTCCTCAAGTGCTTCTTGTTTCTCGTATGAAACATGTAGTGATCGCCTTCCCGTTCGGAGGTTATTGCGTTGACTGCCAAAATGAAGATAAACAAGTTCAGGTTTAACTTGTCATAAAAAGTTGGCTCCAAATAGACGACCTTGTTGTAAAGCTTTGGCAGAGTGATCTCACTATGAATCACTTCCATGCGATGTCGCACGACAAGGCTCTGAAGGGTGGCGCGAAGAGACTGCACTTTTCGACGTTTCCCATCCTTCCCTACAAGTCTCATGTACTTGGCCCAGTCGGCATGGTCATTGGCCTGAGGATTCGACCATGGCTTCAAATCAAAAAAGTTGACCACAATCGGTTTCAACTTCCTGAGATCTTGATCGTCCTTCGCCTCTGTCTTCCTTTTCCCCTGAAGAACAGCTTCGGTCGCCTCTGATAGATCGGTGTCGCTGCTAGTATTCGTTTCGTGTGAAGCCAAGCTTACCTCCACTCCATAAAGTCCGCTGGACGGTGTTCCAGACACAATCCAACGGCGCTCAATATGCAATTTGTCCAGGAGATATCTCGTTCTTGAAGTTTGGCTAGATCCAGCTACGTTGTGGCCTTCATCAATGATGATACGAAGCCAATGAAGGCTTAACAATGGGGATTCAACTGTGTTGAGGAAGTCGCGTCTGTTGTTGACTGCCTCGCCGGCCTCCTGGTCGAAACGCCATCTTGAAAACAAAAGGATATCATACTGTAAGAGGTCATCCGAATTGGGAGTAGCATTCGACATGTTTCGTAGGACGAGAACTCTAAGCCCTTGGGTGTGCCGAGCAATTTGTTCTTCCCAGTGGTCAACCAAATTGGGAGGTACAACAATCAAAGTCCCCGACGTAAGCCGCACAAGTTGAGGAGACGGCCTGGGATATGCGACGCCAGTACGACCACTGTGCCTTGTAGGTGGTGAAGGTATCGTATACGCGCCTCGATTATCCTCGCAAGCTTTGACGCACCTCGTAAAAGTCATTCCAGAACGGCCAAGGCGATCAAAATAGCTCTTCCATGGCATCGAAGATTGGCCGGCGGCTGCCGCCGCCATCTCAACAAGGCTCGCACATTTTTCACGTTTGATTTCCCCTTCACGATACAGAGGCGGTATGGCAGGGACATGACTGCGTGTTGCCAGGATGACAGCCAGGCAGATCAATGTCTTACCACAGCCCATGGTCTCCGCCAGGATGCCCCCACAAGCTTCTGAATACAGCTTCTTTTCTTTGTAGATGGTGCCTTCTTCCTCGTCGTAGTAGTACTCGCGTCCATTGGGACCCTTGAATGCCTGCAGACGAGGGTCCAGCATCTGGGCTGGCTGCGCTTCACGTTGAACCATGAAAGCCGCGGAACGACGCTGGTATGGGTACAAAGGTGTTTTGAGCCCTACGACACCACCGTCCTCCGCAGTAAGTAATTGTCGCATGGCGAGCTTCGCGTAGGGGTCTTTCACGGCTTCAACTTGCGGCTCGGGGTTTCGCAGTGTGTTGAATATGTACCACAGTGACTCGTCCACGGTTCCGGTATCGCTGGAATCGTCATCGGTCACTTGCTCATCCGAAAAGAAGATCCCATCCCATGCATCGACGGATCGATTGACTTTCAACATGACAACTTTAAGTGCCTCCCTCAATGTCTTGCTTGAACGCGCAATGTACTTGTGCCCAGCATCGTCGGGCAGGACATAGACACGGACATAGCACCATCGCGGATGCTTGAAATATGTATACTCGCATGTTCGCACCCAATTTCTTTCCTTCAGCATTGCAATCTCCGCCCCTGGATAATTGTCGTCTTCCACCGAAGTCTCAGCATTGGCATTATCAGGTTCATTGCGCTTTCTCAGAACGCCGACGGGAACGTATGAGCTCAATTTCGATAGGAATGAGTCCTTTTCTTGGTTGAATTTCTGTGCAGGGCTCATAACACTATTCCCAGAGCCGAATAATAAAGATGAGGTTGTGGGTGTAGTCGGAGGTGTAATTTGCGAGGATGAGTCGCAAATTGCAGATCCGTAAGGACGCTCGCTAAATCTTATAGTATCTGTTTCCATCATCTGTGTCATAAAGATGTCTTGTCAGCGCATCGACTAACCAGACATCTCTGCAAACCCATGTGGGATATATCCAGCAGCAGGAAGAGTGAACCCATCAGATAGGAGAAACACACCTGTGACTGAAGTGATGCAACACCAGGTTGCGGTCCCAGACCAGCCAATGCCATGTTGTAAAAGCAGCAGATCTTGCCCAACACAATATTTGGCCGCTCCCCTTCCATTCAAGCCCTAGGCCGACTTTAAAGCCCTGTCGCGCGAAATCCGCTATCAGCAGGAGGCCATAGAGCGTCACAGATCTCAGGTCAAAGTGGAAGGAGTTGGAGATGATGGCTGCAAGGTGTCTCACTGACCTGCTGACTTGACTCAGGTCTCAAAGCAGCGCCATCCTACAAAATGAAATTATCCATCGGTAGATTGTGTTTGCCAGTCAGTGTTAGTGAACAATGCTTCTGGCAGTATTCATGAAGCTGCGCCAGAACCGCGACGAAGACTCCGCGAGTTGACCAACGTCATTGGTTCAGAGCTTTCACCGCCCTCGGCCTTCTCTTTTAAGTTATATTAGTTGTGTTGCGGGATCACGTGACTTATATTCAGACTCAACCTCCAACAGCGTCGGAGAGAATTGGCTTCAAGAACATTGTCATATTAAGCGCATTCAGATTCAGCGTACTTCGATAATTATTATTCTCTTCTGTTTGATGAAAACTTAGGTAATG